TCCAAGGAAAATTTATACAATAATTATATACTGTTAGAACATAATCATATTATAAAATTGACATAGAACAAGATTATACTGTCCAAATGCATCAACTTGTAGTTAGAACAATGTCAAATTGAAAAGTTTGGTAGGAAGTAGATGACTTAGAGTCATGTAGATAAGTGAAGATTGAACATAGTGCTTTTCTACATCATAGGGTCGAGTTTTTAGAAAAAAATCAAAATTTGTAGTTAGAATAAGATAATACTGAGGGGACAATGTCTTAAAATAATGCCATTGAAGGAAGCTATGAAGTTTGGCTTGCTTAACATAAATAATTTTAAAACTTGTGAACTTGTGGCATTTCTTGCTATTTAGTGGTCACATATATATCCATAAATAAAATCAATATATCTGTAATGAAGTAGGCTGAGTGGTAATTGTTTATTATTACGCCTATATACCTTGATAAATGTGCTATCGAAATACAAGTAAAGTAAAGTAAAGTTTCCCTTTCAAACCTGACGGTCTATGGGGCAAGTGAAGTAGAGTTCTCTTGTTTCTGTGACCTCGGCATATGAAGAGATAGTGTGGTCAGCACTATGCCCAGCCGCCTTTACTTTCCCTAACGTGAGTTAGGTACCCATCAGAGTTGGGTGGACTCAGGGACGGTCTACTGACTTGAACCCGGATTCGAACTCGAGACTTACGGGTTAGCAGTCCAGCTCTCTACTCGACTAAGAGGTGACATTTCCTTACTTTATTATAAGTTACTTAAATATTACATTCTTTTATTTCAGAGTGCCTATGCTATCAACGTACGAGTTGAACAGGTATTATTTAAAAAAAAATTTATCACATCATACTTACAATTTTATTTGAAAATTATACACATTTTAATTATCTAAATAAAACAAAAAGTTTTATTTTTCTAAATTTGCTATTTATAAATAAATTAAAAATACTTAACCTATGTTAATCAAATGAAAGTTTAACAATTCATAACCGTCTAGATCGCAACAATATCACAAATGTAAAACATGTCTCCAAATCTTAAATGTTTCATTGACTTTTCTCACAAAACTCTCAAACTTCAGTTATATCTTTCATTCGCACTCTTTTTCTCTAAGTTTTTGTATATCTCTCAGTGTAAAATTAAACTGATTTGTCTTTTTAAAATCTTTCCAGTTTTTTAATTATGTAAGAATTACAATTTAACTTGAAATAAAATGGTGGTTATAATGAAGTATATTTACTACCATTTTAAATATATAGATTGTTGTAAAAGACTTATTTGGTCGTTTAATGGGGTAACCTCATTCGAGGGATATTTATAAAAGCATCTTTTTATCTTTTGAAAATGCATGCACTATTTTTTAAATGTGACATGACTTAATTGAAGTAGTCCTCTTTGCTCCTCGTGGAAAATAAGGTCTCCACCATATCCTTTCATTTCAACCGATCTCCGGCTATTAATTTTGCAATCTCCCAAGACATCCCTGTTGGCTTCAGTTCTTTGAGAAGACTCCTACTGCTGCTTTGCCTTTGGGTGCTCTCTTTTCCGCTTTTGCTGAGTGGTCTACTCATGCGCCTGGTGTGTAACATTGCTATAATGTAAGCTCACTAATTATCTAAATCCAATGGTCATATTTTAAAAGGCTCAGTTTTTTTCATAACATGAACCAACATGTTTTAAAATGATACCATTGAAGAAAGCAATGAAATGAGACTTAAAGGACTTTAATAATTTATAAACGTGTGGATTTGGCATTGCTTACTGTTTAGCGGTCACATATAAGTATATTTTTTAAAATCAATATGAATTTAAAGACGTTAGTGGTAGAGTGGCATAAATCTATATAGAATCAATTATGATTACGCTTATATACCTGGGTGAATGTGCTATCGGAATACAGCTAGCCATAAATTTACGACTAAGAGGTGACATTTTATTACTTTATTAAACGTTATTTAAATATTACCTTCTTTTATTCCAGAGTGCCTATACTATCAACGTACAAGTTGAGCAGGTATTATTTCAATTTTTTCTTTTAACATTATACTAACATTTTTTTTAAACTACATAAATTTTAATCGTCTTGTTATAAAAATAAACCGGGAGTGATCTCCCTTAAACTTTCTCGAATATCCTTTTACAACACTACGGGGCATGGAGACTCGGGATGTAGACAATATTTTAAATCTATTTTTTATTACTTAAATTATGTATAATAGAATAGAATATAGTAGAAAAAATACTTGAGCACCATATGATCGCCAGACAAAATAATCATAATACTGCGGGATATTATTAGTACTTTATAAATTCACATGCGTTTTTTTTTTGAGAATTCAGAAATAGCGTAAATTACTACTTCCGGTCAACGGAAATTACAAAAAAATGTATAGAATGCAGAGAAAAATATCTTGTACTTATATGTGAAATTTCATTTATCTATCTGAAATAGTACTCAAGTTATAGGCTTTTGAAAAATTGAAATTAGGAAAAGTTGTACTTGCTGTTATCCGAAATCGCTGAAATTTTTTTACGAATCTACACATTTAATCTGATACTTATATATGAATTTTTATAAACCTAGCTGTAATGTTACTCAAGTTATCGTGTATACAGACATAAATACACACACACATACATACACACATACACATACAGACATACGGACAAGATTGCCAATTTATGTTTTTCCAACTCAGGGAGGTGTAAAACGTCGAAATTTGCAAAAATCTTGATTTTCTTTTTGCACGATTACATTACTTTCTCTGTACTCTGTATATACGAGAAAGTAAAAAGTTAATTTTACCAAATTTGCTAGTTATAAATAAATTAAAAATAATTAACGCATGTAAATCAAATGGAATTTACATTTGTAACTGTCTACATCGCCACTATAATGAAAGTGTAATACATTTATTTCCTAAATTTTCAATGTTTCATTTTTTTCTCACAAAAATAACAAACTTCAGTTATTTCTCTCATTCGCACTCTTTCTCTGGGTTTCTGTATTTTTCTCAAAGTAAAATTAAACTGTTTTGTCGTTTTAAAATCTTTTTGTTTTCACGTTCTCGTATATACGGAGTATAGAGAAAGTATTGTAATCGTGAAAAAAAATCACGATTTTTGAAACCCTCGACGTTTTACACCTCCCTGAGTGAGAAAAACATAATTTTGCAATCTTGTCCCCGTATGTCTGTGTGCAAAATTAAAGTAATTTCCGTTGACCGGAACACAAAATTTCTCCACCGTATATCTCCATTTCGTCCGATCTCCGGCTATTAATTTTGCAATCTCCCAAGACAACCCTGTTGGCTTCAGTTCTTTGAGAAGACTCCTACTGCTGCTTTGTCTATGGGTGCTCTCTTTTCCGCTTTTCCTGTGTGTTCTACTCATGCGCCTGGTGTGCCACATTGCTATAATGTAAGCTCACTAATGATCAACATCCAATGGTCATATTTTAAAAGGATCAGTTAATCTTTTATAACATGATCCAACATGTTTTAAAATTCTAACATTTAAGGAAGCAATAAAGTGAGGCTTACAGAATTTAAATAATTTATAAACGTGTGGATTTGACGTTGCTTTCTGTTTAGCAGTCACATATAAATATATATTTTTAAAAAATCAATATGAATTTTAATAAGTTAGTGGTATAGTGGTATAAATCTGTAAAGAATCATTTATGATTACGCTTATATACCTGGGTAAATGTGCTATCGGAATACAGCTAGCAATAAATTTACGACTAAGCGGTGACATTTTATTACTTTATTAAACATTATTTAAACATTACATTCTGTTATTCCAGAGTTCCGCTACTGGCAACGAACAAGCTGGACAGGTATTATTTCAAATTATAACATTACTGTTTAATTTCATTTTGAAAATTACAAAAATTGTGTTGTCGATGTTTAAAAAAACATGTTTTATTTTTCTAAATTTGCAACTTGTAGATTAAAACAAAATAATTCATATAATTCAAATGAAATGTAAACAATTCATAACTGTCAACATGTTCACTATCATGTGAGTTAAACACCTGTCTCCAAATGTTGTACTTTTCATTGACTTTACTCTCAAATCTCTCATCTTTAGTTTGTTTTTCTCACTCGCACTCTTTTTCTCTAGGTTTCTGTATATCTCTCAGTGTAAAATTAAACTGATTTGTCTTTATAAAATCTTTTATTTTTTAATAATGTAAAAATTACAAATTAACTTGAAATAATGTCGTCGTTATAATGAAGTATATTTATTAATGATTTCAGTCTAAAGTTTGTTGTAACAAACACATATGGGGTCGTTTTAAAGCGGTTATCACATTCGATGGATATTTATAAAAGCATCTTTTTATCTCTTGAAAATGCATGCACTATTTCTTAAATAAGACATGACTTAATTGACGTAGTCCTCTTTGCTCCTCGTGGAAAATAAGGTCTCCACCATATCCTTCCATTTCGTCCAATCTCCGGCTATTAATTTTGCAATCTCCCAAGACATCCCTGTTGGCTTCAGTTCTTTGAGAAGACTCCAACTGCTGCTTTGTCTTTGGGAGCTCTCTTTTCCGCTTTTGCTGAGTGGTCTACTCAGGCGCCTGGTGTGTCACATTGCTATAATGTAAGCTCACTAATGATCAACATCCAATGGTCATATTTTAAAAGGATCAGTTAATCTTTTATAACATGATCCAACATGTTTTAAAATGATACCATTGAAGAAAGCAATGAAGTGAGGCTTACAGAACGATAACAATTTATAAACGTGTGAATTTGACGTTGCTTTCTGTTTAGCAGTCACATATAAATATATATTTTTTAAAAATCAATATGAATTTTAATAAGTTAGTGGTAGAGTGGTATAAATCTATATAGAATCATTTATGATTACGCTTACATACCTGGGTAAATGTGCTATCGGAATACAGCTAGCAATAAAATTACGACTAAGAGGTGACATTTTATTACTTTATTAAACGTTATTTAAACATTTCATTATGTTATTTCAGAGTTCCGCTACTGGCAACGAACAAGCTGGAGAGGTATTATTTCAAATTATAACATTACTGTTTAATTTCATTTTGAAAATTACAAAAATTGTATTGTCTATATTTAAAAAAAACGTATTTTATTTTTCTAAATTTGCATCTTGTAGAATAAAACAAAATCATTCATATAATTCAAATGAAATGTAAACTATTCATAACTATCTACATAGTCACTATGATATGAGTAAACCACCTGTCTCCAAATGTTGTACTTTCCATTGACTTTACTGTCAAAACTCTCATCTTTAGTTTGTTTATCTCACTCGCACTCTTTTTCTCTAGGTTTCTGTATATCTCTCAGTATAAAATTAAACTGATTTGTCTTAACAAAATCTTTTATTTTTTAATAATGTAAAAATTACAAATTAACTTGAAATAATGTCGTCGTTATAATGAAGTATATTTATTAATGATTTCAGTCTAAAGTTTGTTGTAACAAACACATATGGGGTCGTTTTAAAGCGGTTATCACATTCGAGGGATATTTATAAAAGCATCTTTTTATCTCTTGAAAATGCATGCACTATTTCTTAAATAAGACATGACTTAATTGACGTAGTCCTCTTTGCTCCTCGTGGAAAATAAGGTCTCCACCATATCCTTCCATTTCGTCCAATCTCCGGCTATTAATTTTGCAATCTCCCAAGACATCCCTGTTGGCTTCAGTTCTTTGAGAAGACTCCAACTGCTGCTTTGTCTTTGGGAGCTCTCTTTTCCGCTTTTGCTGAGTGGTCTACTCAGGCGCCTGGTGTGTCACATTGCTATAATGTAAGCTCACTAATGATCAACATCCAATGGTCATATTTTAAAAGGATCAGTTAATCTTTTATAACATGATCCAACATGTTTTAAAATGATACCATTGAAGAAAGCAATGAAGTGAGGCTTACAGAACGATAACAATTTATAAACGTGTGAATTTGACGTTGCTTTCTGTTTAGCAGTCACATATAAATATATATCTTTAAAAAATCAATATGAATTTTAATAAGTTAGTGGTAGAGTGGTATAAATCTATATAGAATCATTTATGATTACGCTTACATACCTGGGTAAATGTGCTATCGGAATACAGCTAGCAATAAAATTACGACTAAGAGGTGACATTTTATTACTTTATTAAACGTTATTTAAACATTACATTATGTTATTTCAGAGTTCCGCTACTGGCAACGACCAAGCTGGAGAGGTATTATTTCAAATTATAACATTACTGTTTAATTTCATTTTGAAAATTACAAAAATTGTATTGTCTATATTTAAAAAAAACGTATTTTATTTTTCTAAATTTGCATCTTGTAGAATAAAACAAAATCATTCATATAATTCAAATGAAATGTAAACAATTCATAACTATCTACATAGTCACTATGATATGAGTAAACCACCTGTCTCCAAATGTTGTACTTTCCATTGACTTTACTGTCAAAACTCTCATCTTTAGTTTGTTTTTCTCACTCGCACTCTTTTTCTCTAGGTTTCTGTATATCTCTCAGTGTAAAATTAAACTGATTTGTCTGAACAAAATCTTTTATTTTTTAATAATGTAAAAATTACAAATTAACTTGAAATAATGTCGTCGTTATAATGAAGTATATTTATTAATGATTTCAGTCTAAAGTTTGTTGTAACAAACACATATGGGGTCGTTTTAAAGCGGTTATCACATTCGAGGGATATTTATAAAAGCATCTTTTTATCTCTTGAAAATGCATGCACTATTTCTTAAATAAGACATGACTTAATTGACGTAGTCCTCTTTGCTCCTCGTGGAAAATAAGGTCTCCACCATATCCTTCCATTTCGTCCAATCTCCGGCTATTAATTTTGCAATCTCCCAAGACATCCCTGTTGGCTTCAGTTCTTTGAGAAGACTCCAACTGCTGCTTTGTCTTTGGGAGCTCTCTTTTCCGCTTTTGCTGAGTGGTCTACTCAGGCGCCTGGTGTGTCACATTGCTATAATGTAAGCTCACTAATGATCAACATCCAATGGTCATATTTTAAAAGGATCAGTTAATCTTTTATAACATGATCCAACATGTTTTAAAATGATACCATTGAAGAAAGCAATGAAGTGAGGCTTACAGAACGATAACAATTTATAAACGTGTGAATTTGACGTTGCTTTCTGTTTAGCAGTCACATATAAATATATATCTTTAAAAAATCAATATGAATTTTAATAAGTTAGTGGTAGAGTGGTATAAATCTATATAGAATCATTTATGATTACGCTTACATACCTGGGTAAATGTGCTATCGGAATACAGCTAGCAATAAAATTACGACTAAGAGGTGACATTTTATTACTTTATTAAACGTTATTTAAACATTACATTATGTTATTTCAGAGTTCCGCTACTGGCAACGACCAAGCTGGAGAGGTATTATTTCAAATTATAACATTACTGTTTAATTTCATTTTGAAAATTACAAAAATTGTATTGTCTATATTTAAAAAAAACGTATTTTATTTTTCTAAATTTGCATCTTGTAGAATAAAACAAAATCATTCATATAATTCAAATGAAATGTAAACAATTCATAACTATCTACATAGTCACTATGATATGAGTAAACCACCTGTCTCCAAATGTTGTACTTTCCATTGACTTTACTGTCAAAACTCTCATCTTTAGTTTGTTTTTCTCTCTCGCACTCTTTTTCTCTAGGTTTCTGTATATCTCTCAGTGTAAAATTAAACTGATTTGTCTTAACAAAATCTTTTATTTTTTAATAATGTAAAAATTACAAATTAACTTGAAATAATGTCGTCGTTATAATGAAGTATATTTATTAATGATTTCAGTCTAAAGTTTGTTGTAACAAACACATATGGGGTCGTTTTAAAGCGGTTATCACATTCGAGGGATATTTATAAAAGCATCTTTTTATCTCTTGAAAATGCATGCACTATTTCTTAAATAAGACATGACTTAATTGACGTAGTCCTCTTTGCTCCTCGTGGAAAATAAGGTCTCCACCATATCCTTCCATTTCGTCCGATCTTCGGCTATTAATTTTGCAATCTCCCAAGACATCCCTGTTGGCTTCAGTTCTTTGAGAAGACTCCAACTGCTGCTTTGTCTTTGGGAGCTCTCTTTTCCGCTTTTGCTGAGTGGTCTACTCAGGCGCCTGGTGTGTCACATTGCTATAATGTAAGCTCACTAATGATCAACATCCAATGGTCATATTTTAAAAGGATCAGTTAATCTTTTATAACATGATCCAACATGTTTTAAAATTCTAACATTTAAGGAAGCAATAAAGTGAGGCTTACAGAATTTAAATAATTTATAAACGTGTGGATTTGACGTTGCTTTCTGTTTAGCAGTCACATATAAATATATATTTTTAAAAAATCAATATGAATTTTAATAAGTTAGTGGTATAGTGGTATAAATCTGTATAGAATCATTTATGATAACGCTTATATACCTGGGTAAATGTGCTATCGGAATACAGCTAGCAATAAATTTACGACTAAGCGGTGACATTGTATTACTTTATTAAACATTATTTAAACATTACATTATGTTATTTCAGAGTTCCGCTACTGGCAACGAACAAGCTGGAGAGGTATTATTTCAAATTATAACATTACTGTTTAATTTCATTTTGAAAATTAAAAAAATTGTATTGTTGATGTTTAAAAAAACATGTTTTATTTTTCTAAATTTGCAACTTGTAGATTAAAACAAAATAATTCATATAATTCAAATGAAATGTAAACAATTCATAACTGTCAACATGTTCACTATCATGTGAGTTAAACACCTGTCTCCAAATGTTGTACTTTTCATTGACTTTACTCTCAAATCTCTCATCTTTAGTTTGTTTTTCTCACTCGCACTCTTTTTCTCTAGGTTTCTGTATATCTCTCAGTGTAAAATTAAACTGATTTGTCTTTATAAAATCTTTTATTTTTTTAATAATGTAAAAATGACAAATTAACTTGAAATAATGTCGTCGTTATAATGAAGTATATTTATTAATGATTTCAGTCTAAAGTTTGTTGTAATAAACACATATGGGGTCGTTTTAAAGCGGTTATCACATTCGATGGATATTTATAAAAGCATCTTTTTATCTCTTGAAAATGCATGTACTACTTCTTAAATAAGACATGACTTAATTGACGTAGTCCTCTTTGCTCCTCGTGGAAAATAAGGTCTCCACCATATCCTTCCATTTCGTCCAATCTCCGGCTATTAATTTTGCAATCTCCCAAGACATCCCTGTTGGCTTCAGTTCTTTGAGAAGACTCCAACTGCTGCTTTGTCTTTGGGAGCTCTCTTTTCCGCTTTTGCTGAGTGGTCTACTCAGGCGCCTGGTGTGTCACATTGCTATAATGTAAGCTCACTAATGATCAACATCCAATGGTCATATTTTAAAAGGATCAGTTAATCTTTTATAACATGATCCAACATGTTTTAAAATGATACCATTGAAGAAAGCAATGAAGTGAGGCTTACAGAACGATAACAATTTATAAACGTGTGAATTTGACGTTGCTTTCTGTTTAGCAGTCACATATAAATATATATTTTAAAAAAATCAATATGAATTTTAATAAGTTAGTGGTAGAGTGGTATAAATCTATATAGAATCATTTATGATTACGCTTACATACCTGGGTAAATGTGCTATCGGAATACAGCTAGCAATAAAATTACGACTAAGAGGTGACATTTTATTACTTTATTAAACGTTATTTAAACATTACATTATGTTATTTCAGAGTTCCGCTACTGGCAACGAACAAGCTGGAGAGGTATTATTTCAAATTATAACATTACTGTTTAATTTCATTTTGAAAATTACAAAAATTGTATTGTCTATATTTAAAAAAACGTATTTTATTTTTCTAAATTTGCATCTTGTAGAATAAAACAAAATCATTCATATAATTCAAATGAAATGTAAAAAATTCATAACTATCTACATAGTCACTATGATATAAGTAAACCACCTGTCTCCAAATGTTGTACTTTCCATTGACTTTACTCTCAAAACTCTCATCTTTAGTTTGTTTTTCTCACTCGCACTCTTTTTCTCTAGGTTTCTGTATATCTCTCAGTGTAAAATTAAACTGATTTGTCTTAATAAAATCTTTTATTTTTTAATAATGTAAAAATTACAAATTAACTTGAAATAATGTCGTCGTTATAATGAAGTATATTTATTAATGATTTCAGTCTAAAGTTTGTTGTAACAAACACATATGGGGTCGTTTTAAAGCGGTTATCACATTCGAGGGATATTTATAAAAGCATCTTTTTATCTCTTGAAAATGCAAGCACTATTTCTTAAATAAGACATGACTTAATTGACGTAGTCCTCTTTGCTCCTCGTGGAAAATAAGGTCTCCACCATATCCTTCCATTTCGTCCAATCTCCGGCTATTAATTTTGCAATCTCCCAAGACATCCCTGTTGGCTTCAGTTCTTTGAGAAGACTCCAACTGCTGCTTTGTCTTTGGGAGCTCTCTTTTCCGCTTTTGCTGAGTGGTCTACTCAGGCGCCTGGTGTGTCACATTGCTATAATGTAAGCTCACTAATGATCAACATCCAATGGTCATATTTTAAAAGGATCAGTTAATCTTTTATAACATGATCCAACATGTTTTAAAATGATACCATTGAAGAAAGCAATGAAGTGAGGCTTACAGAACGATAACAATTTATAAACGTGTGAATTTGACGTTGCTTTCTGTTTAGCAGTCACATATAAATATATATTTTTAAAAAATCAATATGAATTTTAATAAGTTAGTGGTAGAGTGGTATAAATCTATATAGAATCATTTATGATTACGCTTACATACCTGGGTAAATGTGCTATCGGAATACAGCTAGCAATAAAATTACGACTAAGAGGTGACATTTTATTACTTTATTAAACGTTATTTAAACATTACATTATGTTATTTCAGAGTTCCGCTACTGGCAACGACCAAGCTGGAGAGGTATTATTTCAAATTATAACATTACTGTTTAATTTCATTTTGAAAATTACAAAAATTGTATTGTCTATATTTAAAAAAACGTATTTTATTTTTCTAAATTTGCATCTTGTAGAATAAAACAAAATCATTCATATAATTCAAATGAAATGTAAACAATTCATAACTATCTACATAGTCACTATGATATGAGTAAACCACCTGTCTCCAAATGTTGTACTTTTCATTGACTTTACTCTCAAATCTCTCATCTTTAGTTTGTTTTTCTCACTCGCACTCTTTTTCTCTAGGTGTCTGTATATCTCTCAGTGTAAAATTACGCTGATTTGTCTTTATAAAATCTTTTATTTTTTAATACTGTAAAAATTACAAATTAACTTTAAGTAAATTTTGTCGTTATAATAAAGTATATTACTTTTATTACTTTATTTTATTTATTTATTTTATTACTTTATTAAACGTTACATAAAGATTACATTTTGTTATTTCAGAGTGCCCATTCTATTAAAGTACAAGTTGAAAGGGTATTATTTACAATTTCATTTTGAAAATTTAAATTTAATTTTTCAATGGTTAAAAGACATGTTTTATTTTTCTAAATTTGCAAGTTATAAATTAAAATAACATAACTGAGGTAATTCAAGTGAAATGTAAAAATTTTATTATTATTTATATGGTCAGTATAAAATAAGTAAAAACCTGTCCCCAAATGTTATACTTTCCATTGACTTTACTCACAAAACTCTCATCTTTCGGTTATTTCTCTCACTCGCAATCTTTTCTCTATGTTTCTGTATATCTCGCAGTGTAAAATTAAACTGATTTGTCTTATTCAAATATTTCCTTTTTTAATAATGTATTACAATATAATTTAAAATAACTTAGTCGTTATAATGAAGTGTATTTAATACCGCCTTAAATCTATATTTGTAACAGAATATGCAACATAGGGCCTCCACACTATCTTTCTTTTTCGTCCGATCCCCGGTTAATAATTTTGCAATCTCCCAAGACACCACTCTGGGCCTAAGTTCTTTGTCTCGTGCGTATTTCTTCCGCTTTCACTTGGACTCTATTTAAGCGCGCGGTGTGTCACATTGCTAAAATGTAAGCTCACATATTATGTACATCCAATTCTTATATTTTAAAAATGATTATTTACTCTAGTATAACATAAAACAACATGTCTTAAAATGATGCCCTTGGAGGCATCAATGAATTTAGGCTTACAGAACTTAAATAATTTATAAACTGTGGATTTGTCATTGTTTACTCTTTAAGGGTCGTCCATGAATGACGTAACACTCGTAGGGGTGAGGGGGGGGGGGGGGGGTTCCTTAAAATTGTGACGGTGTGTGAGGAGGGGGGGGGGGGTTCAGATTAGCGACGTCACACTTTTGCATTATAAAAAAGCAATATTAGAGAACGAATTTTAGAAGTTATTTCGCGTTTTAGAAAACTGTTTTAATAAATTTTAATAGGAAATGATTAAAATACTCTATTTTGACAAGATTTTAGAAAAATATCAATGTTTAAAAAAGAATCAACTGCAAATTTTAGGGGGTTGTAGGCTGAGGTGTGACGGGGGGGGGATTCTGGCTTTTTGTGACGATGTGTGACGGAGAGGAGTGGGGGGAGGTAAAATTGTTTTAAAAGCGTGACGTCATTTATAGATGACCCCTTAGCAGTCAGTACATATCCAATTAATAAATCAATATAAATTTAAAGACGTTAGTTGTAGAGATCTATATAGAATCATTTATTATTAATTCTTTATGCGTGTTTGGTCTGCTATCAAAATACAGTTACTTATACATTTAATACTAAGAGATAATATTTTAATAATTTATTAAAGGTTATTTAGAGAATACATTCTGTTATTCCAGAGTTCCGATGCTGTAAACGTAAAAGTTGAACAGGTATTATTTTAATTTACTCTTATAACATCATACTTACAATTTCATTTTGAAAAATTAAATTTAAGTTGTCAATGTTTTTAAAAAAAAAAGGTTATATTTGTCTCAATGTGCAACTTATAAATTAAAATAACATAACTAATGTAAATCAAGTTAAATGTAAACAATTCATAATTGTCTAGATTGTCACTATAATATAAGTAAAACACCTGTCTTCACATGTTGTACTTTCCATTGACTTTACTACAAAACTCTCATCTTTTGGTTATTTCTCTCACTTGCAACTTTTTTCTCTTTTTCTATATATTTCTCAGTGTAAAAATAAACTGATTTGTGGTTTTAAAACCTTTTCATTTTTAAAAAATGTAAGAATTGTTTAACTTATCGTCGTTAAAATGAAGTATATTTATTAACGACTAAAATCTATAGTTTGTTGTAACAAAAACATATGGGGTCGTTTTAAAGCGGTAACCACATTCGAGGGATATTTACAAAAAGCATCTTTTTATCTCTTGAAAATGCATGCACTATTTCTGAAATGTGACATGACTTAATTAGCTGGTACCAAATCGACAATATTTAAAATAATTTGAAATATTACATCATTTTATTTCACGTTTAAGGAAATATAATGTATTATATATTTTACACTGAATTTTACATTTATGCACATGAACAAGACACACTTTTTTCAAAAACAAAACTATCATCTTATGTTGATATGAAAATTTTAAACACATTGTTTGCGAAAATTATCAGTTTTTGCACGTTCTTCCTAAATATTCGCATTTAATTCTTAAATTACAATTGCAGGATTCAAGTTGTTGTTGTTCATCGTGTTGGTGCGAGGTATTTTTTCCCTATTTACATTCAAACTTATATAACGTATATAATAAGGAAAATGTGTGGCCGAGTGTGTAGGCATTCTTTGAGATCACCTATCCCTGATGTGTACCTGATTTACATTAGAAAAATAAGACGCTGGATAATATGCTGACCATATCATCATTTAATATGGTAAAGAAACAGATGAGTTCTACTTCATCTGCCATAGGTGTCTTCAAGTCTGAAAAGATAACTTTAAAATAAATAGACTTATGTATTTTACTCTTCAGTTCTATTTTTATTTATTTTTTCTTATTTTATTTACAGATTTTGATTGCCTTCCTGGAGATAATTTTTCTTTATGGACCCTGCATCTATTTAATAGTATTTGACTGGGAAAGAAATCGTATCCGGTCTATTGTGTTGATTTTCATAATAATTATGTTTTGTATTTTGGTACTGGTTAACCAATGCATTATTCTAAAAGGCTTTGTTCCACCTACGACTCATTGTCAAATTTTACGTACTGCTTTCAAAGATTTGAAAAAAATTATTGATTCGTCTAATTGTAATTGTAGTGAATTCCTTTATTTTTTTGCGATTTTATTTCTTTTAACATTTCTTTTTTTTTCTATTGTAGTATGGATTAAGTTCTTGTTTGACTTGATTACCTATTTTTTTTTTGAATTTGAGAAAATGAACCTAACTCTGTTAATTGGTTTTGTGACTTTGATATACATCTATGACTGTCTTAATAAAATGAATCTAGAGCTGAAATACTGTTTAGAAGATTTTGAAAGTCAACTGGACAAGTTAATTAACAAATCAAGGACATTTAATGTTTCAGGTTATCATATTTTGTAAAATATTATACTAGACTTTAAAATAATACCATATTATAGAATAATATGTTTACGATCTACTTTTCGAAAAAGACCGATATATAATACATGTAATAGAATAGAGTAGAGTAGAGTAGAGTAGAGTAGAGTAGAGTAGAGTAGAGTAGAGTAGAGTAGAGTAGAGTAGAGTAGAGTAGAGTAGAGTAGAGTAGAGTAGAGTAGAGTAGAGTAGAGTAGAGTAGAGTAGAGTAGAGTAGAGTAGAGTAGAGTAGAGTAGAGTAGAGTATAATTGAACAGGATAGGATAGGATAGGATAGGATAGGATAGGATAGGATAGGATAGGATAGGATAGGATAGGATAGGATAGGATAGGATAGGATAGAATAGAATAGAATAGAATAGGATAGAAAAACAATAGAATAGACTTTATTATCTGACTGTATATAAATTTTGAAATTTTCATTAATACCTTAAACTTTTTTTTACAACAGATCAATTACCAAACCGCATTAAAGATATGCTCTTAATGCAAGGTGAGACGTTGAACAATATTGCTTTAATTCAGGTAGTAAGTAGTTATATATAAAGGGTCTTTACAGTAAGAAAGAATTAAATAATACGACGCCTCGATATATTTTTGCCGTAGTTTAGTTTTCGTTTATTTCAATATTCACATCAGAGTACTAACGCCACCCGCGCGCAGCGTGGCGCGTCGAGGGAATATCCATATCCACAATGTAGCGAAGCACGAGTTTAAGCTAGTATATATATATATATATATATATATATATATATATATATATATATATATATATATATATATATATGTAGAGAGAGAGAGAGAGAGAGAGAGAGAGAGAGAGAGGGGAAGAGGGAGAGAGGCATTAAGATATAGATATATATAAAGATATAGGCATAGTGTTACGACTGCTCATGTGAGAGGTTTGAGTCACTTGATCCAATACCATATACTATGTCACTACCATATAACGATGTTACAACCTTATTATGCCATTTCACATCCAGACGACCAGGTGACAATTCATAGATAAGACGAACTCAGTAATTCCTTCTTCCACTTTATTCTTGTACTAGACTTGTGTTTATAATCTTCATCTATCTTCACAACTCACGAATCAAATCTCTCGACAGAGTCAAACCGATCAGCGTACATCCTTTCACCACGACGATCACACAAATGCCCAACAACCAATTTTCTAACCACAACGCCAATATATACCTTAAACACGTATCTAAACATATATAAACGTATAAACATTTATAAACATATATAAACATATATAAACGTATATAAACATATATAATCATATATATACACATATATAAACATAACTAAACATAACTAAACATAACCAAATACGACTAAACATATATAAACATATATTAACATACGTTAACATATATAAACATATATAAATATATATAAACATATATAAACATATATAAACATTTATAAACAAATATAAACATATAAACATATATAAACATATATAAACATATATAAATATTTATAAACATATATAAGCATATATGAACATATATGAACATTTATAAACAAATATAAACATATATACACATATAAAACATACATAAAAATATATAAACATATATAAACTAATATAAACATATATACACTTATATAAACATATATAAACATATTTAAACATATATAAACATATATAAACTTATATAAACATATATAAACATATATAAACATATATAAACATATATAAACATATATACACATATATAAACATATATAAACATATCAAAACATCTATAAACATATATAAAAATATAAAAATATATATAAACATATAAAAACAAAAGAACATATATAAACATATATAAACATATAAACATATATAAACATTTATAAACATATTTAAACATATATAAACATATATAAACATATTTAAACATATATAATTATATTGAATAATTTATAAACATATATAAATATATATATATACATATAAACATATATAAACATATATAAATATATATTAACATAAAAAAATATTTAACCATACATAAACATATCTAAACATATCTAAACATATCTAAACATATCTAAACATATCTAAACACACCTAAACATACCTAAACATATATAAACATATATAAACATATATAAACATATATAAACAAATATAAACATATATAGACATATATAAACATATAAACATATATAAACATATATAAACATATATAAACATGTATAGACATATATAAACATTATAAACATATATAAACATATATAAACATATATAAACATATATAAACATACATAAACATTTATAAAATACATAAACATATAGAATCATAACTAAAAATCAAAACATATCTAAAAGTATATAAACATATATAAACATATATAAACATATATAAACATAAATAAACATATTTAAACATATTTAAACATATATAAATATATTTAAACATATATAAATATAGACAGAGAGACCAGACAAGACTAGGACAGAAAGACAGAAAGACAGACAGTTAAATTTATTTACATATACGTCTTCTGATATATGTCTTCTGATAGATAAATATATATATATATATAGGCCTATAAATATATATACATATATATATATATATATATATATATATATATATATATATATATATATATATATATATATATATATATATATATATATATATATATATATATATTTAATTATTTAATTATTTAATTATTTAATTATTTAATTATTTAATTATTTATTTATTTATTTATTTATTTATTTATTTATTTATTTATTTATTTATTTATTTATTTATTTATTTATTTATTTATTTATTTATTTATTTATTTATTTATTTATTTATTTATTTATTTATTTATTTATTTATTTATTTATTTATTTATTTATTTATTTATTTATTTTTTTTTTTTTTTTATTTATTTTTTTTTTATTATTTTAATGTAGACAATACAATTTTCTCGGCCTAAACTTATAAAATGTACTTTATCTATTTGGATTTTAGATCTAGAGATTCTAGATCTAGATCTATCATCTAGAGAATCTAGATCTAGAATCCAAATATCTACGGAAAAATTTGACTTAGACTGTAGATAGATCTAGATCTAGACTCTATCAAGATCTAGAATCTAATCCAATAATAAATTGCAGGTCTTAATTATTTTATAGAAATCTTTGTTTGTTTAGCTATGGAATTGGCTAATTTGGGATAATTTCTTTTTTAATGTGAAATAATACGGCCTATTCGCGTAAGTTAAGTTCTTTTAAGTACCTCTTTTATTCTTTTATTCTTCATGAATCCTAAGGTGCCTAAATAGCTGAAATCATAGGGTGGTACGGGTTCGAGACACACTAAGTCAATCTTTTTTTTTTCAATTTTGTGTATATGTGAATGATAAAGTTGCCTAACGGGACTTGACAATACACGGGGCAGGTGAAGTAGAGTTCAGCATATAAAAGGATAGTGTGGTCGGAGTCATGCTCATCTGAAATAGACGTTTTTAAAAGACAAAAACAACATAACTACCATTGAACAGCCGGGTATTTAACAAAATCTTTTAAGTCTCTTAATTTTAAGTCTTTTAATCAGCGAGTGCATTTAATATGGCATTGTGTTGATTAATACTGTACATAATTTGGTTTTAATTTTTCTAATAGCTATTGGTAGTCTGTTATTTTAAACAAATATAAACATAGATAGTACATAAATAACAACCCCCCCCCCTTCTTTTCATAATCTTAACAATATTTCATTCCAATGCTCATGATCAATAAAATGTTTCTTTTCCTAAGTTTCCTACAATGATTTTTTTAAAAAGCCGGATTACAATTCATTTCATTACTCACTTTCCGTAGGGATATACATTTTCTTCAGGCATCTCTACCGTTTCTTCCCCTTTCAACTACTAACGAAATTGAAAAAAAAAGTAATTCATAAAAAAATATAGAAAAACCACTATCCGCTACCCCCCACGCACACCCATCCCCGACACCCTCCCCCGGACTGTTTTAAATGCCGCTCCTCGGAGATAAATATCTAAAAGAAAAGCCGGGTAGCCTATTTGTAAGAAGAAGAGAGCTAAAAGTCACCAGAATGGGTACCGATGGCTAGTATATATATATATATATATATATATATATATATATATATATATATATATATATATATATATATATATATATATATATGACTTGCGTACCAGTCCCCGCGCGTTGCCGCGGGCATAGAAGAAAGTGTGACGGAATTTATAAGAAGGGTTTCATGAATGCTTTACCAATCCTATGTTCTTAGACACGTAACATTGTTTTCTAAAACTGAGTTATTTAAATGTAAACAATGTCTGCTCTTGGATAAAAAAAATATCGGGACACGGGTTTACCTACACTACCGCATGAAAACCTTGAGTGTACATTAATCACACACCGAAATAATATGGTAGAACACACTTCGTGACCACACATGTGTCAGGGACGTAGAAGGGCGCTCTCGGGAGACCCCAATTACACTACCGCCGAGGCGCCATAGTGCTCGCAAATGAACCATTGGCGCTTGGGGTCGTGCAATCTACGGGCCCCGGCGGTTGCGCCTGTTGAAATTTTAACGTTGATTATAGTAATACACTTTACCCGCTATGCAGGACGAAGATTAACGGATGCCAAGTGCTAACATAGCCGCTCTAAAACTCTGGGCGCCTAATTGTGTATTGACGAAAATCGCACCCTCCCGGGCGCTGCTCATATCAAATTTTAATTGTTTTGTTAACAGAAACCTGCCCAGGAGTATTCTCATTAACTCTTTAAAGTTTTATAGCACTCTGATGAAATGTGTCGAACCACATCTGCCTTTCATTTTTTAAATATACCGTATTGAGCAAAATCGCACCCTCCAGGGGCGCCACCCTTGCGAATTTACAAAATATTGTTTTGCAGAACCCTTCCTTGCAGTGTTCTAATCAACTCTCAAAGTTTCATAGCGATCAGATGAACGATGTCAAACCGCAATCAACTTTTATTTGTATATACCGTATATAGAGAAATAAACAAATCGCACCCAGCCGGGGCGCCACCCCAGGAGTATTCTGAAGTATTCTCAACATCTGCCCAACGTTTCATGGCGATCGCGTGAACGGTGTCACTGCAATTCACTTTTATTATTTTTATATACCGTATAGAGAGAAAAATTGCACCCTCCCGTGACGCCCAATTTTTCACAGCGATGTGATAAGAGGTGTAGTAATGCATAAAAGACAGACACACAAACAGACATACACTGCCTTATATATATATATATATATATATATATATATATATATATATATATATATTGATGGATGTGTTTACAGTGTCATACAACAAGAAGATCAGAAGGAAACAGAAGACAGAGCCTTTCAAACAGTTGGTTTATTTTTTTGATAGCCATGGGAACATCTATTTCTCCAAACAATTATTTTATAAATGCTGTTCATCCTATTATGGCAAAGCGGGTCACGATGGGAAGATGTGCAGTATTCTGTGCTTACATGTATGTATTTAGAAATTCAACTCTTTAATGTGTATCACTTATCTAGTTTGTGTATGTCTTTTTTTTCTTGAAAAACAGAGTAAAGAGAAAGTATTGTAATATGTTTGAAAAGCTTGCTCCTAGTAGTTGTTGCCAGAAGGCATGTTTTTCAAACAAAATTGAAAATTTTATAAGGTTTATGAAATAAGTACAAAATGACTTCCGGTTTTATCAAGGCTAGAAATATTCAAAGAAATAACTACTATATATAATAGCAATTATAATATAATAGTAATTTAGCTAACACTTTTATTTTTTATTTTAATTAGTAGAGTTAAGGTGTTGTGGTGATTAGGAATGTTAAAGTATTGAATATCAATGAACTATTACGTTTTCCCCTATGATCGCTGTTGTGTTGTTATTATGGAAAACAATTGTTGTGACTTTCATTGTTTTACTTACCCTGGCCACTTCGGTTGACTTCATAAAGGGGTGAGAGCGGTTTTAAAAAATATTTGAATTGATAAAGTAATTTTAAAAAAAATTTCTACGGCTTAACTTTAATACAAAAATATGAAATCGATGGTTCCCAAACGTTTGTAATTTAAAAAAAAATGTTACTATAATTTTATCGCTTGCATATTCTAAAACGCATTTTTTTAAAATGTAATATAATTACATAGACTTTTCAAGCCTATTGTGCAGACACATTAAATGCAATTTTAATAGTTTTACACCGCTCATCTAAAAATCTAAATCTTTACTTTGACAAATTTTTGACGTTTTACCGTTTTAAAACCTTACGGAGCCTGAAATCTTAGGTTTGCCATCCTGTCTTTCTGTTTCCGTGTTTGTAAAAACGTTAACTTATATATATATATATCGATGGTCTCGGTCGCAAACCGTCTAACTCCGAAAATGTAAATTTTACAGGAGAGACAAAAAGCTGATTATTTCATTCTTGATCGCTCTAATACAATTTTTTAAAATGATATCTCAGAAGAAACTCTCTACCGGCTGTACTCTAGCATTTTAAAATTAGTTTTGTTAATATTTACAAAATTATAGCAGGTTTAAAAAGATAGACGGTTTGCTCGGTCTAAAATTCTCGGTGCAAACCGTCTATCTGTGCGCGCGCAGACTTAGCTGTTTCGAGCCGAGAATTTCGGTCTCAGCCGCGTTTGTTCGTTTTGTCCAATGAACGTTATTTAGTTATGTTTATGTTTTTAAGTTATAATTAACACTTTATAATATTTAGATTATAGTTTTGGGCTAATATTTTAATTATTTGAGTTTATTCTACATTATGGGGTCAGTTTAATTTTTAGTAGAGATGTTTTAGTATGGCTTTATCGCTTTCGACTGTATTCGTTATGTCTGTATTTAGCACTAGACTTGTTAACTGTTGAAGGTTATGCTTTATTTATTACATCTTTCTATTTCCACAGTTTATTTTACTAAATCTGGTGGGTGCTGGGTTTGTAGAATGATAATAGTAAAAACAGAAACCGTATTGTAAGATATATTATGAATGAGACATAACACACTAATCGCATTAATACTGACTAAATGTTTACTTATTTTACAAAAATGTAACACAAAAAAAATGTGTTTATTTTTAAAATGTATTCTTTGAATAAACGTCACATCAAAATGGCAACCTTTTTTTAAAATCAGGGAAATCATCATAAAAAGGTGTGTTTATGACTTGCTTTTTAGGTGCTCAAATATGACAGCTTTTATCTTTTTCTGCTCTTGTACAACTTGACAGGGGCTACAGATGAGATCATAATCTTACGACCCTAGCTTAGCAATTGTCAGCTATCTGCTAATTCACTATGAAGTAGACAGAAGCATCAGGCTTGTACTGCAGTGCATGAATATCTGTCGCTTTGAATTCTTGATAGGTCAGACTGGTCTTTTGAGATCGGCTGGTCTCTTTTATGTTAATGCTAGTCTTTATGAGAGAGGTTGGTGTCTAATGTCTGTTATGTGAGGCTGGTCTATTGTATGTTACGACTGATCTGTTAAGAAAGGCTGGTGTCTTGTATGATAGGACTGGTGTGTTGAGAGAGGTTTGTCTATTGTAGGATAAGACTAATCTTTTGAGAGAGGCTGGTCTCTTGGAGGGTAAGAATGGTCTGTTGAGAGAGATTGGTCTTTTGTGTATTACGACTGGTCTGCTCAGAGAGATTGGTCTCTTGTGAGTTACTGGTGCCTTTAAGGGTTAGACAAGTTTGTTGATATGTTCTGGTATCCTGTATGGTAAGATTGATCATTTAAGAGAGTTTGGTCTTTTGTATGTTACGACTGGTCTGTTGTGAAAGGCTGGTCAGTTGAGAGATTCAGGTGCCTTTACGATTTGCCAGTTGACAGATGCTGGTGTCTTGTATGGTGAGACTGGTCTGTTGAGAGAGACTGATATGTTGAGAGGCTGGTCTGTTGAGAGAGGCTGATCTGTTCAAAGAGGCTGGTATGTCAAGAGAGGCGGATCTGTTGAGAGAGGCTGATCTGTTGAGAGAGGCTGATCTGTTGAGAGAGGCTGATCTGTTGAGAGAGGCTGATCTGTTGAGAGAGGCTGATCTGTTGAGAGAGGCTGATCTGTTGAGAGAGGCTGATCTGTTGAGAGAGGCTGGTCTGTTGATAGAGACTAATATGTTGAGAGAGGCTAGTCTTTTGAGAGAGGCTAATCTGTTGAGAGAGGCTAGTCTGTTGATAGAGACTAATATGTTGTGAGAGGCTAATCTGTTGAGAGAGGCTGGTATGTCGAGAGAGGCTAGTCTTTTGGGTGAGTCTAATCTGTTGAGAAAGGCTGGTGTGTCGAGAGAGGCTGGTCTGTTGAGAGAGGCTGGTATGTTGAGAGAGGCTGATCTGTTAAGAGAGGCTGGTCAGTTGAGAAAGGCTGGTATGTTGAGAGAGGCTGATCTGTTAAGAGAGGCTGGTCTGTTGAGAGAGGCTGATCTGTTAAGAAAGGCTGGTCTGTTGAAAGAAGCTGGTTTGTTGAGAGAGGATGATATGTTGAGAGGCTGGTCTGTTGAGAGAAGCTGGTTTGTTGTGAGAGGCTGATCTGTTAAGAGAGGCTGGTCTGTTGAGAGAAGCTGATTTGTTGAGAGAGGCTGGTATGTTGAGAGGCTGGTCTGTCGAGAGAGGCTGGTCTGTTGAGAGAGGCTGGTATGTTGAGAGAGGCTGATCTGTTAAGAGAGGCTGGTCAGTTGAGAAAGGCTGGTATGTTGAGAGAGGCTGATCTGTTAAGAGAGGCTGGTCTGTTGAGAGAGGCTGATCTGTTAAGAAAGGCTGCTCTGTTGAGAGAAGCTGGTTTGTTGAGAGAGGATGATATGTTGAGAGGCTGGTCTGTTGAGAGAAGCTGGTTTGTTGAGAGAGGCTGATCTGTTAAGAGAGGCTGGTCTGTTGAGAGAAGCTGATTTGTTGGGAGAGGCTGGTATGTTGAGAGGCTGGTCTGTTGAGAGAGGCTGGTCTGTTGAGAGAGGCTGGTCTGTTGTGAGAGGCTGGTATGCTGAGAGAGGCTGGTCTGTTGAGAGAGGCTGGTATGTTGAGAGAGGCTGGTGAGTTGAGATAGGCTTGTCTGTTGAAAAATTAATCATAAAAGCATTTACCAAAGACAACTAACCATGTCGTTGAACATGTACGCTAAACATTTTGTAACCTACCATATAAACATTTCTTAACACGTATCTAAACCCTCAATCTAACGCTAGTAGTGAATTAACAATAATTAAATTTATTGCACATTCTTGTGGAAATATAATTCGAATAATATTGTTTTGGTTGATATTTAGATTCTAGAATGAAGATCTAGTTTCAAAGCATTGTGTTAGCCTAAAAAATTGTAAACAAATCAGTTTAGTTATTGAAAATCTGGAAATAGGCTATATTAAACAAATACTATTTGTTTATTATTCTTTAAAATGATAAAATGTAATAGAATAGTTGAACATAATCAATCAAATATCTTTACCTATACGTGCTATAACTGCTGTTCTGTAAAATTGTGTGATTACGGCGTGCGACTGCGTTCCCGATCAAAAGTGTACTGATAAATAAAGCGATATTCGTTTTGCGCCGAGATTTTTAGCGCTAGAAATAATAGGCGGTTTGTTCAAATGATTATATCTCAATAATCATTCTACAGATTTCTCTAATATTTTCAGGCATTATGGGGAATCATATTGGCTTTTGATTTATGTAAAAAAAATCGAATTTTTTGGAGTTGCGACCGAGACCATCGATATGTATGTAAATATATATATATATATATATATATATATATATATATATATATATATATATATATAATATATATATATATATAATAGATTTTCTACTTCAGATTCTAAGGTGTATTGCCCTTGTGTTGTATCTGGGGATGATAGTTTCTGTCGTCTGGTACTTCGACAAGCTATACGACTTGAGCAATTTAACAACATTTCTAACAACGTTTGCTGGTGGCTTGTTGCCGAAACTAGTCTCTCCTTTGCTCACTTTGATTTCTACAAAGAGCGAAGTGAAGCTTCGAGAGGAAAACAAAAGGTAAAAGCTTAAATTTTTGTTTGACTCATTCTTATGTCAACATTACTTCAATATTCGAAAGCACAGATTCTAATTACATTTGTTACTAATGAACCTAACATCTAATTCAGTGGTGCCCAAACATTTTCGATTGGCGACCCTCTTTTATAAAAAGTAAGTGAATTAAAAAGTCGAAATGAGTGAGGAAATTAATAAACACTAAAATACGATTTTCTAGTAGACTTTCAATATTAATTATTCTTAATAACTGTTTTATTGCGATGGGTGAATTCGAACGCCTATCACTAGCCTCAACATTCGCGGTTGAGTTTTTGTTAACGCCAACCTCATGTCATTCTCAGCATTTAATTTATTTATTTGTTTTGTTTTTAATTGATAAGACACAAAAGGAGCTAAAACTCAAAAGGCAATCAATTTCACGTTTGGGTTCGAACGGTGCATACTACACCAAAATTGAGCAGGTTTTCATTAAACACGATACGTGACGCGGAATCATTCCACAAATTTAAGAATGCATCTTGTAATTCATCGTGAATGCTGGCAACATCATGGAAAACAGAAAATGAGTAACGTGTCTTTGGAGATTCTTCTTCTATCAGATCAGGAAAAATAACGCTGCAGTTCGTTTTCAAGATGCCAAGAATCGTCTTTCAAATTTTTATTTATCTCACAATCAGATTCATCTACCACGCTGCAGGGTTTCTAAAACATGGCAGTATTTCCTATATTTATTTTTCTTCGCCCATTTTGCAGCTTGGATAAAAATGCCAAGAGATTATCATGAAAAGAGATAATATTCGTTCCTTTATCAGGTTAAGCTTATGTTGATGTTTGAATATATCTGCTAGGTATGCTACTCTCTCCAACCACTCTTTGTCGTTAAAGTATTTCAAAAAGTCTTGTTTCCCTTGCACTTCACTTCCAAGAACAACTTGATTTAATCTTTCAATTTAAAAGACACGATTCACATTTCATATTGACAGCCAGCGTACTGTAGTGTAGAACCTCGTGATCGTTATTCATGTATATGCACAGTTCTTTAAACAGACGGGTGTTTAGGGCTCCAGATTTAATATAATGTATGACTTTTATTAGCAATGGAGTTGGAAGAGCCTGACGAGGGCATACCGGTGAATCATGCGGATTCCCCTTAATTAGGGAGCTAAATCTTTTACTTTATTTTTTGAAAGCCCGATTTTGATCCAATCATGACGCACCATCCATACAAACCCCACAGACGTTTTCCCACTTTAATCATACAGTTTATAAATAGAACGTATATATTTTCTCCATATCTTCACAAAATATCAATCTTCTTTGCAATCATCAGAATGAATAAATTTCACAAAGACAAGCAAGGGTAACACTTAAAAATCAAATAATGGTGAAAGTTTGATTTCATTCAAAATTAGTTTTTAACATCTGCGGAAATGACTGCCATAAGCCGCTGAATAGTATTATTAGACTGAGATATTTGTTGCATCTTTACTGCACGGTAATACCCAATAATTAGTTTCACCATCCTCAACAAGCAGGGTTTGGTGAGATTTTCTGCTATTGTGCGAGGTTTTTCACTTGACGATTTCTAATGCGACTTCGTATGATGATTGCACTAATACTGTGTTTCCTTGGTGAAAACTTCCTGTTCAATCAAGTCTCTGACGTTTGCAACTAGCTTCATGCCGACGAAAGAACTACATATCTTTTTTGGGTGCTCCGAATAACTCGTATCAAAATGACGTTTTAGCTTTGAAAGCTTGATATATTCATGACCGGCGGAAATTTTGCACAGAACGCACTGTTTATTTTTTATTCCATTTTCTGTGATGTTAGTAAAGCCGAATTTCAGATATTCTTTTAAATAAGCATGGTTTTTTTTCATTGCTAGGGTTTAGTCTACCAGTTGGCGACCCCCCAGAAAGCCCTTCGCGCCCCCCAGTTTGGGAACCCATGATCTAAATAATCCAGAGATGTAACTTTTCACATTTTTTTCAGAAGTCGGACTTTTTCCTTCCGAGAAAAAGTTTCCGTCGAAAAAAAATCCACATTTTTCCGCTTTTTTAAAAGCTTCTGAAATCTTTTCCGTTTTGGTACCCATTTTTGAATGGTTGCATCTTCCCTCTTGCTTTATGACTGTTTCACTGGTTTACAGAAGAATGCTATTCACTCAGTTATTAGCCTACGTTGGGGATTGGTTAGTCAACGGCGTGTATACTTACTGCGGCCGTGTGAATGTACTATAGCTATATATTAAATAAAAGTTTCTTATTGAAGGAGTGATTACGCATAAACTCTCGATTTTACCATCTATTCCTCTATTATTGTGTGACTGTCTAGCTATTATTCACTATTAATGACGATTTGGGTTGGGGGAAAATTCGGCTCGTTAACGTGACGTCATTTATGTACGACCGCCAGGCTGCGCCTTGTATATAACTTTACCAACGTGGTTCTATATAGGATTATTTCTAGCAGAGATGTAACTTTTCCGTTTTACAGAACTGCTTTAAAAAAAAGGACGGTGGATAGCTTTTGCGCTTTAACTAGAATAATAGAATCTGTCTTTTTCTCTTTCTTTTTTTTTGAATAAGAAAAAGCGAATTCATTTGAAGAAGTATGATATGTGAAACAGAAATGTTCTCATTTTATTACTTTTACCTCACCCACTTTTCATGGTCGTTCTGACCGTGAGGCCTTCGGAGTGAGACCACGCAAAAACATCCTGCAAGCGCTTTTTTAAAAAATATGTCTAATTTAGTTATTTTGATTTTTTTACTCAATAATAAAAACCCACTCGATCTACTTCTTATTTTTCTTTACACAAAATACTGATGTAGGCTTAGTTACTACCGATCAGAGCCTAGATCTAAAGGTATCTAAACGCTTGTCTGAATTTATTTTGCACCCTTCCCGCCCTAAGTAAAAAAAAAATTCCTTTCTTTTTACTGAGGTTACATCTCTGAATTAATTTAAGTATTGAACAATTCAATTTATATAAAATGTGTCTGCTACTTTCGAAAGAACATGAAGTTTACTCTCGAGATAACATGAGTTTACTTTCGAAAGAACATGATGTTTACTCTAGAAAGAACATGATGTTTACTTATAAATGTTAACACTTGAGTAGCAAATTATAATTTAACAGTATAATTTAAGTTGTATGTGTCAATATAACCATGTTCACAGCGATTTCAGACATCTTTTTTTTCTGGGTGTGCTTTTCATAGCCTTTATTAACCCAAGAAAAGTCCACAAGGCTGTTTGATTTTGGAGTTTTTTCGCCTAGATTCTAGATGGATTGCGGTCCTGAGTTCAATAAATGAGCTGTGTGGGAGGGGGGGGGGGGGGGGGGGGGGTTGAGGAGGTCCACACATGCGCTCTTGCAATCGTTACCCCACTAATGTTTTCATTTAACACAGATCTAAAACATTTTCATTAATATGTAATTGTCTAGGTAAGGGGGTACATGGATTAATTATACAATACGAGCAGACCCGCAGCGTATCATACGCCGCTATTTAGTTGTTTTATTTTCTATTTTTAAGTAATTCATAAATTGTGAATTCGACAGTACCAATGCTGCCACTGAAAATATTTGCTTTAAAACACTAAAACCCTCCCCCCCCCCCCCACCCGTGAAAGCAGCCTTCTCTTAGTTACCTCCCCTAAGTTTAAAATAGTTTCAAACTAAATTATCTGCCCCTAATAGCCGTCACTAAACCCGGCTCTACGATCGTAAAATGTAAACATTTAGAGTGAACTACAGCTCACCAGACCATGCGGGGGTGGGGGCGGTTGATTTATGCCTAGTGAGGAAGAGAGGGGACTGCAAAGGCGCGCTTGCAGCTTGTTTTCTAACGGCTCCCAGAAGAGAATTATATATATAGATTGTAGCAGTGGGGCTTGTGCCCCATTTTTGTTTTATATAAAAAGCCCAGTCCCAATTGATTAGGAAATAAAATAACTTTTTACAAAACGACCAAACTTTTCTATTCCACTCTTACGATAATAGTCAATAGCAATATGGATTTTGAACACTGACAATTTAGCATAAAAAATGCCTTCTGACAATGTAACCATCGACTTTATGGCTAAACACGTATTGTCATTATAAAATCTAAAAGAATACCGGTAAAAATATATAATATTGTTTTATTTCTTGTCTTTTTTTATCAGGTTTATTAGAATTGTTTATAAGACAATTAAAGATTTCAAGGAAGATTTTCAAAAAGATTCAGAACAGGTAAACCAAAATTAATTTTTGTCATCTGCCTAATTTAATTTTGATTCATATTATTTACATTGTTTTTTTTTTAATTCAAAGCACATGATAGCCCTGACAGGGGCGTGTCTACTCTACTCCCTAGGCTTATAATAAACAATTGGGTGGCAGTGCAAGTCTGGCTAAACCCAACTTGGTTAAACCTTATCCTTAATCTAGATCCAAAAAAAAAAAACTTATCAATTTTATTATTTTATTTACAAACGAAGTGGAACCATTTATATTAAAAAGAAATAATAAATACACTACAATCTATCTCTAGTCATAAAAAAAATATCAACAAAACAAACTTAACAAACAAACTAACACCCAGTCAAGTTACTCAGACACACACGGTGCACGAAGCGCTCACGTCAAAGCCATTCCTCGAGATCTACTCTCAACTAGTAGGTAAAAACGAACGACCCTAGCGGTCACTCGGTCTTAAATAAGACTGGACCGGAAGTCCACTGTCCACTACAACCACCATCCACAGATTCGCACACACACTCACAAATATTTTTTAAAAATTCACCCGCTCACACAAATTCATCTTAATCATGTGAATGGCAATAAAACATTTTTTTTTTTTTTAGAAATAACACTTCACCTATTTTGCTATATGATGTCAATATTCTTTAAACGGAATTAACTAAGAAATCAAGCACAAATGAAAACACATAAAACAAATATAAATTTAGATATTTTACGCTCAAAGCCCGATGTCGGACAAAGCATGCATTGGCCGGCCATTGCGCGGATTGGCCGATATCGTTTTCCATTGACCGGTCAAAGTCCGAAACTTTACTTGATTTCGGCTTTTGGTCGGCCAGCCAGCGGACTGGCCCTGGTGGACCGGTCAAACTCCGAATTAAAAATCATCTGGCTAGGGGTGGCTGGCCAAAGTCCTAATTAAAAGACGATGAGCAGTTTTGGGCTTTTTATACCGTAAGGATCATGAAATTAAGTCTTTATTCATTATTTATAGTAAATGAGAGAAACATTCAAATTATTTTATTGTACTATAGTCTCAATCAATATTATCACTGTTACTACAAGTTGAACTTTTATGGCATTTAGAATTACATAGCAGCTTGTTTTACACTTGCAGCGATTTGATATGCACTTGGTTGTGATTGTGAAGATGCGATGGTTCGCGATGGTTCGCAGCGATTTTCCTCAGTGCCAACGGGCGACAATCAGAGCAGTTTTTCGTGAAGAATTGAAAACTCATTCCTAGCATAAAGTTGTTTTAGAACATCATGTTCCGTTCCTAGTTTGTAGAAAGAGGTCTCGACACTTATGACAAATACAATGACGCTTCGGGGATCACCGCGACCTCTGTCAACATCTGGAATACGGATGCGATCATTATCTCTTATTTAAGCATGTTTAAATTTTATATTTGATTTTGTGAGAATCTCAGCACCTTGAGTTTGCAAGCTGCTGACGTGTTGTTCATTATTTCTTGTTTATTGTGACATGATCTGCAAATAATGTTCCCTCCGCAACCTTCGTCTGCGTCATTAGTTATTCCGCAAATTGCATGGACACAGTTGCCACAAGATCCACAAGAATGGGCTGCACTGCACTCTTTTTCACAAACTACACAGAATCTGTTGGACCTTTCGCCACGGCAGCATATGTGTTAGCTGAGGATGTCGTTGCACTTATAGCAACCTCTACTTCTGATCGATCTACTTCATTTGGTGTTCCTCTTTTATTGGCAAAATATGGTTTCTGACGCCCACGTCAACTCAAATCGTTTGGACACTTGTTCAACTACAAGGGTAGCATCGAACGCGGCAAAGTCTTTTGTACGTTCCGTCTTGTTGCACGCGGTCGGTGACGTAGACTGTCTTTGATTTTGTTCTTTGATGATTGTCTCACCTCGTCATCATGGAGGAGGCTGTCTACATTTGTAGCCCATATATTGAAACTAAAAAGGGTTTGAATTTTTTTTTCTTTGGCAGCCATCTCGTATGTCTGTATCTTGGTCTGACGGCCCTTTTGGTCCATGTCGCATTGCATATAAAATACTATACAAACGAGAGCCAAACAATTCGTTACTCACAATGAAACTGCACCCAGCATAGTCTATATAGGACATTGGCCAGGACATCCAGGCTAGTGCGCGCATTGGCCGGCCTATGTAAAAATACGATGTTAAGTTTAAGGTCTTCGGGCTTTGGCCAATAGAGTCTGCCAATGCGCAAATTGGCCGGCCAATGCGTGCTTTGGCCGTACTTCGGGCTTTGACCGTAACAGATACAATTGTATATTTAACAATGTGGTCAAATAGTAGTGCGTTAGACTGCTAACCCGAAAGTCTCGAGTTCGGATCCTGGGCTCGAGTCGATGAGTCCAACAATCATTGAATGTATACCTGACTGACGTTAGGAAAGGTAAAGGCAGGTCGGGTCAGAGCTGACCAAACTATAACAGTTCCTGCTAATGTAACATAAATAGAAGTTATTAATTACATTACAGTTCATTAAACATGTATCAATTCTTTGTTTTTTCCCTAGAGCCCCTGTACTAGTACCACTACCCTACCAGAGCTATGTTTATGCTTTTTTTTTAGAGATAATGTGATTACATGTAAACTATGTTTTGCTAAAAACATGTAATTAATTCAATCAATAATAATAATAAATCTCTTCCTGCTCATAAAAAAAGTTAAACAGAAGATTTTATTAGATTATTTATTGCTTATTGACTTAAATCAGTTTTCTTCAAATTTTCAGGGTCCCAGTACTAGCAATACTCCTGGTCAAGAGGTATGTTTAAGCTTGTATTTAGAGATCTCGTGATTTTATATTGTCTATATTTTGTTAAATAGAAAATTATTGTAATATCATTCACTTTAGAATATAACAATTGACTTAACTTCAATTATGATTGGTAAAAATAAATTCAAAGTGATAAAAACTGATAATTTTGCGAGACAAAAGTCAACTTTTGTAGTTTTGAAACGAATTAATTTTTTTACACTCGGTGAGTTCTAAAGTTGAGATTAAGACGTTTTTCAATTTTATAACTCTATTCCTAAATTGATAAATACTGTATAATATTGAAAAGCGTTTCACGGCAGCAGATGTGTTGGCTGAGGATGTCGTTGCATTTATGGCAACCTCCATTTCTTGTTTAATGTTCTCAGTTACTAAATTATCGATAGCCTCTCTTGGCAGATTTTAAGTGCTGTCCCACTTTTTCTTTGCATCTAAACAAGGCTTCGTATGGCGATTGTTGGATTCCTTAATGTAAAGAAAGGTTTTTTATAAACTGAATTAATTTGAGACTCTCAGCCCAACGAGTTGATTTATTTGTCTGCATCCATGTCATCATCATATTTTGAACAACTTGCTTGGCACGTAGTGCTAAATAGTCATGTAATCCGCAGTGCACAAAAATCTGGAATTCTGTCGGTATTTATCATGCAGTCAATTCAAGGCGCAGTGATTGATCTACTTATTTGGTTTTCCCCTTTTTTTGGCAAAATATGGTTTCTGACGCCCACGTCAACTCAAGTCGTTTGGAGCTTTGCTCAACTACAAGGGTAGCATCGAACGCGGCAAAGTCTTTTTTACGTTCCGTCTTGTTGCACGTGGTCGGTGACGCCGATTGTCTTTGATTTTGTTCTTTGATGATTGTCTCACCTCGTCATCACGGAGGAGGCTGTCTACTGTTGTAACCCATATATTGAAACTAAAAAGGGTTTGAATTTTATTTATTTTTGGCAGCCATCTAGTATGTCTGTATCTTGGTCTGACGGCCCTTTTGGTCCATGTCGCATTGCTTATAAAATACTATACAAACGAGAGCCAAACAATTCGTTACTCAGAAAGAAACTGCACCCAGCATAGTCTATATAGGACATTGCCCAGGAAATCCCGGCCAGTGCGCGCATTGGCCGGCCCATGTACAAAATACGCTGTTAAATTTAAGGTCTTCGGGCTTTGGCCAATAGAGCCGGCCAATGCGTGCTTTGGCCGCACTTCGGGCTTTGACCGTAACAGATACAATTGTATATTTAACAATGTGGTCAAATAGCAGTGCGTTAGACTGCTATACCGAAAGTCTCGAGTTCGGATCCTGGGCTCGAGTCCATGAGTCCAACAATCATTGAATGTATACCTGACTGACGTTAGGAAAGGTAAAGGCAGGTCGGGTCAGAGCTGACCACATTATAATAATTCCTGCTAATAAAACATAAATAGGGGTTATTAATTACATTACAGTTTAATAAACATGTATCAATTCTTTGTTTTTTCCATAGAGCCCCTGTACTAATACAACTACCCCACCAGAGCTATGTTTATGCTTTTATTTAGAGATAGTGTGATTACATGTAAACTATATTTTGCTAAGAACATTTAATTAATTAAATCAATAATAATAATTAATTTATTCCTGCTCATAAAAAAGTTAAACAGAAGATTTTATTAGATTATTTATTGCTTATTAACTTAAATTAAATCAGCTTTCTTCACATTTTCAGGATCCCAGTCTTAACATTACCCCTGGTCAAGAGGTGTGTTTAAACTTTTTTTTAGAGATTTCGTGATTTTACATTGTTTATATTTTGTTAAATAGAAAGTTATTGTATTATCATTCACTTTAGAATATAACAATTGACTTAACTTCAATTATGATTGGTAAAAAATTCTAAGTGATGAAAACTGATAATTGTGCGAGACAAGAGTCAATTTTTGTAGTTTTGAAACGAATTTTTTTTTTTTACACTCGGTGAGTTTTAAAGTTAAGATTAAGACGTTTTTCAAATTTATAACTCTATTCCTAAATTGATAAATACTGCATAATATTGAAAAGCGTTTCACGGCAGCAGATGTGTTGGCGGAGGATGTCGTTGCATTTATGGCAACCTCCATTTCTTGTTCAATGTTCTCAAGTCTTTCTAAGTAACTAAATTATCGAGAGCCTCTCTTGGAAGATTTTAAGTGCTGTCCCACTTTTTCTTTGCATCTAAACAAGGCTTCGTATTGCGATTGTTGGATTCCTTAATGAAAAGAAAGGTTTTTCATAAACTGAATTAATTTGAATCTCTCAGCCCAACGAGCTGATTCATTTGTCTGCATCCATGTCATCAACATATTTTGAAGAACTTGCTTGATACGTAGTGCTAAACATTCATGTAATCCGCAGTGCACAAAAATCTGGAATTATGTCGGTATTTATCATGCAGTCCAGTCAAGGCGCGTCGATCATTCTGCTTCATTTGGGGTTCCTCTTTTGTTGGCAAAATATGGTTTCTGACGCCCACGTCAACTCAAGTCGTTTGGACACTTGTTCAACTACAAGGGTAGCATCGAACGCGGCAAAGTCTTTTGTACGTTCCGTCTTGTTGCACGCGGTCGGTGACGTAGACTGTCTTTGATTTTGTTCTTTGGTGATTGTCTCACCTCGTCATCACGGAGGAGGCTGTCTACATTTGTAGCCCATATATTGAAACTAAAAAGGGCTTGAATATTTTTTTTCTTTGGCAGCCATCTCGTATGTCTGTATCTTGGTCTGACGGCCCTTTTGTTCCATATCGCTTTGCACATAAAATACTATACAAACGAGAACTAAACAATTCGATACTCACAATGAAACTGCACCAACATAGTCTATATAGGACATTGACCAGAACATCACGGCCAGTGAGCTCATTGGTCGGCCCATGTACAAAATACGCTGTCAAGTTTAAGGTCTTCGGGCTTTGGCCAAAAGAGCCGGCCAATGCGTGCTTTGGCCGCACTTCGGGCTTTGACCGTAACAGATACAATTGTATATTTAACAATGTGGTCAAATAGTAGTGCGTTAGACTGCTAACCCGAAAGTCTCGAGTTCGGATCCTGGGCTCTAGTCGATGAGTCCAACAATCATTGAATGTATACCTGACTGACGTTAGGAAAGGTAAAGGCAGGTCGGGTCAGAGCTGACCACATTATAATAATTCCTGCTAATAAAACATAAATAGAAGTTATTAATTACATTACAGTTTATTAAACATGTATCAATTCTTTGCTTTTTTTCTTGAGCTCCTGTACTAGTACCACTACCCCACCAGAGCTATGTTTATGCTTTTATTTAGAGATAATGTGATTACATGTAAACTATGTTTTGCTAAAAACATTTAATTAATTAAATCAATAATAATAATAAATCTCTTCCTGCTCATAAAAAAGTTAAACAAAAGATCTTATTAGATTATTTATTGCTTATTGACTTAAATCAGTTTTCTTCGAATTTTCACGGTCCCAGTACTAGCAATACTCCTGATCAAAAGGTGTGTTTAAGCTTGTATTTAGAGATCTCGTGATTTTATATTGACTATATTTTGTAAAATAGAAAGTTATTGTAATATCATTCACTTTAGAATATAACAATTGACTTAACTTCAATTATGATTGGTAAAAATAAATTTTAAGTAATAAAAACTGATAATTTTGCGAGACAAAAGTCAATTTTTGTAGTTTTGAAACGAACTTTTTTTTACACTCGGAAAGTTTTAAAGTTAAGATTAAGACGTTTTCAAATTTATAACTCTATTCCTAAATTGATAAATACTGTATAATATTGAAAAGCGTTTCACGGCAGCAGATGTGTTGGCTGAGGATGTCGTTGCATTTATGGCAACCTCCATTTCTTGTTCAATGTTCTCAAGTCTTTCTCCGTAACTAAATTATCGAGAGCCTCTCTTGGCAGATTTTAAGTGCTGTCCCACTATTTCTTTGCATCTAAACAAGGCTTCGTATAGCGATTGTTGGATTCCTTAATGAAAAGAAAGGTTTTTCATAAACTGAATTAATTTGAGAATCTCAGCCGAACGAGCTGATTCATTTGTTTGCATACATGTCATCATCATATTTTGAACAACTTGGCTGGTACATATTGTTAATCAGTCAAGTAATCCGCAGTGCACAAAATCTGGAGTTCTGTCGGTATTTATCATGCAGTCCAGTCAAGGCGCGGTGATTGATCTACTTATTTGGTTTTCCTCTTTTGTTGGCAAAATGTGGTTTCTGACGCCCACATCAACTCAAGTCGTTTGGACCTTTGCTCAACTACAAGGGTAGCATCGAACGCGGCAAAGTCTTTTGTGCGTTCCGTCTTGTTGCACGCGGTCGGTGACGTTGACTGTCTTTGATTTTGTTCTTTGATGATTGTCTCACCTCGTCATCACGGAGGAGGCTGTCTACTGTTGTAACCCATATATTGAAACTAAAAAGGGTTTGAATTTTATTTATTTTTGGCAGCCATCTAGTATGTCTGTATCTTGGTCTGACGGCCCTTTTGGTCCATGTCGCATTGCATATAAAATACTATACAAACGAGAGCCAAACAATTCGTTACTCACAATGAAACTGCACCCAGCATAGTCTATATAGGACATTGGCCAGGACATCCAGGCCAGTGCGCGCATTGGCCGGCCTATGTAAAAATACGATGTTAAGTTTAAGGTCTTCTGGCTTTGGCCAATAGAGCCGGCCAATGCGTGCTTTGGCCACACTTCGGGCTTTGACCGTAACAGATACAATTGTATATTTAACAATGTGGTCAAATAGTAGTGCGTTAGACTGCTAACCTGAAAGTCTCGAGTTCGTATCCTGGGCTCGAATCCATGAGTCCAACAATCATTGAATGAATACCTGACTGACGTTAGAAAAGGTAAAGGCATGTCGGGTCAGAGCTCACCACATTATAATAATTCCTGCTAATAAAACATAAACAGAAGTTATTAATTACATTCCAGTTTAATAAACATGAATCAATTCTTTGTTTTTTTCCCTAGAGCCCCTGTACTAGTACCACTACCCCACCAGAGCTATGTTTATGCTTTTATTTAGAGATAATGTGATTACATGTAAACTATATTTTGCTAAAAACAGTTAATTTATTAAATCAGTAATAATAATTATTCTATTCCTGCTCATAAAAAGTTAAACAAAAGATTTTATTAGATTATTTATTGCTTATTAACTTAAATCAGTTTTCTTCACATTTTCAGGGTCCCAGTACTAGCAGTACCCCTGGTCAAGAGGTATGTTTAAGCTTTTATTTAGAGATCTCGTGATTTTATATTGTCTATATTTTCTTAAATAGAAAGTTATTGTATTATCATTCACTTTAGAATATAACAATTGACTTAACTTCAATTATGATTGATAAAAATAAATTCTAAGTGATAAAAACTAATAATTTTGCCAGACAAAAGTCAACTTTTGTAGTTTTGAAACGAATTTTTTTTTACACTCCTTTAGTTTTAAATTTAAGATTAAGACGTTTTTCAAATATAACTCTATTCCTAAATTGAAAAATAGGCCTACTGTATAATATTGAAAAGCGTTTAAAGAGCATTAACCGAAATATTATGAAAAATAACGACCATTTTTTGTTCGACTTCAAATTATCATTTCATAACCTTTATTCATGCTTTGCATTGAATAATTTCAGAGTTTATGCAATAAAAATCTATTTATTTCTTGTGTATTTTTTTACTGTATTCTATCTGAAAAAGATTTTTGCAGATGGTACAATTTAAATTGTAATAATCATTTTTGCTAATAAAAACAAATAGATGTTATTAATTGTAGGCTATTATACAAGTATCAGTTCTAAAACCCCAGTGCTAGCAGCACTACTCTACCAAAGGCATGTTAATGCTTTTTTTTTAAAAAAAAAGATAATGTTATTAGATATAAACTATATTTTGCTCTAAAATGTGTTTAATATTAACTATTTTAAAGTGTAACCATTATGGTAATTTCCAACATGATTTGTAAATAAAATACAAGAGAAAAAAACATACATTTTGCGAGACATGATCAAATTTTGTAATTTGCACACCAAAAAAAATATGTTACATTAAATAATTTAAGGTTTCAATCTGTGTAATAAAAATAAATGCCGTATACATTGGTGTACTGTCTTCAGTCTGAAAAATTCTTTTTAGATATTAAAATTAAATCTATAATAATGAGTTTAAATAATTTAAGGTTTCAATCAGTGTAATAAAAATAAATGCCGTATACATTGGTGTACTGTCTTCAGTCTAAAAAATTCTTTTTAGATATTAAAATTAAATCTATAATAATGATTTTATTCCTGCTCATAAAGAATTTAAACACAAGATTGTATTATTATAATCAGTGTTTATTAAACTTTGATCAGTTCTCTTTTCTTTTCTTTTCTTTTTTTTTAGGCCGGCAGTTCTGCTGGTCAACAGGTATGTTTCAACTTTTATTTAGAAATCTTATTTATCTGATGTAGATCTATCTGATATTTTGTTTAAAAGAAAGTTATCGTAGTATTATTCACTTTAGAGTGTAACATCTGACGTAATTTCAAACATCATTCATTCGAAGAATTGATAGACTTTTATAATTTTAAAAATACTTTACAGGGCCCAATAGTCCTTGGTCTTTTTATCTTTTCCCGTTTCTGCCCAAAACACATGGGACAGAAGAAGTTGAGTTCAATGAACTTGGCATATTAGGGGATCGTGTGGTCAGCACTATGCTCAGGCGTCTTTGTTTCCCTAACGTAAATCGGAGCCAGGTGGACTAAAGGACGTCATATAGTCACTATCCAAACCGAGATCTGAGCTCTAGCAGCCACACGCAATACCATTCGACCATCTGTACGATGGTCATTAATACGGCTCATTTAATTCTAATATTTGCATCCAATACAAAAAAAATGGGTTGGTGCTACTTTATTATGGGTTGGTGCTACTTTATTATCGGCAATAATTAAATCGACGAAATGTAAGTTTCTGGCCAGTCTATAACACTTGGTACATGGATTCACCGCTTATTTTAGCACGAAAACTTAAATGTGATAATATGTCTAAATTGATTTGTTTAGTTCGCTAATTACATGTAAAGTTCAAAAACGTACTACATTCAATTATGTTATTTAAATGCACATTTAGGTCGAAAAAGCCACTTATATTTTACATCTAGAAAAATAAATTAATTTTACAGCTCCAGGCGTTTAGACGCCAATACGCTTACTTAAATACACAGCTATATAAAAAGTTAGTACAATTATGAAATGTTACAAAACGTTAAATTGACTGTAACTAGGGTTTTATTTCACAAGAAGATGTAAAGTCACCGAGTATCAATTTAAATGAAAAATATATTTTGCAGCTGCCCCCTACATCACTTGGACAAGCTGCACAAGCACCAGAAGGACTGGTTGAAACAGACACCGATATCAGTATGGATAGCAACGTTTCAGAACATACACAGCTAATCCCACTTGAAATCAAAGATAAACGCAAGACCAAATTGTACACTACAGGTGAAACAAATGTCTAAAAGCTTTGATCCATAGTTGGAAAGTACAGGTTTTTAAAGTAACAGCAGTGTTCAGTCTCATTGAATTTTACCTATGTTTCCGTCTGCTGTACATCAGCTTCTTCACTTAATTTTTACATGAATGAATTGAATATTTTTTAAACTTTATTCATCACTAGCTGACATGTCGTGCGTCGCTGTGTTCTTCATAATTTTCATTGTGATCGGATGAATGGTGTAATAAAGTTTAAAAATACACCATTGGTAACATACTAACAATTAAATGCCATTGTTATCATAACCAGTGCTCCCGGATTACGTCTATTATAAAAACACAGCCGCCCGCATCTGATCAGCTATATATATATATAAACATGCTAAGTCACTTCTTACTGATTTTGAGGATATCGACTTAAAAATGTTTTTCGTAAACTAACCTTTTGATATTTTATATTTTACTGTTAAGAATAGTATTTAATGTTATAGCTTTTTCAACAAAATTTAGTATACAGCTTTAATTGAGAAGGCTATAAGAATAACTCATTTTCTTCAAAAAGGTGGACTTAGCAGGTTTTGCAAAAGTACTCCTAATATATATAATATATATATATATATATATATATATATATATATATATATATATATATATATATATATATATATATATATATATATATATATATATATATATATATATATATATGTATATGTACCAGATGTAAAAATATGTTTTCTATACTTTAGTAGGTTAGATAATTTTAATGTTTCCAAACAGCTTACAATATCATGTATCATTGTGCTTTGCTTATTAATATATTATTTTAATCAGCTTAACTTTTAATACTTAGTCAATAAAAATAAAATGCATGTTAAAATATCTGGTTGCGTTGTTTTGTTTATGTGTTGTGTCATTGAATTATTGTGCAGGTAACTTATATAAATTTGTTCTGTAGTTTATAAGTTTCCTTTGAAAAAAAATGCCTATATTCCTTAATTATAATTATATAAAATTTTATCAACAGACTTTTATTTTGTATGATCGTTTGAATGTTAAAATTTATAAAACAAAGGCTACAAAAATATAAGTTCTTCACCTGCCACGCTTTTTGCTCGGAAACAGTTTACCTAAAGCAACACTCACAAAAAATAATAGAATTTTTTTCAGTCACACAGTCAAATCAGTTAGAGAAAATAAAGCTGCATTAGAAGTGGGTCAAAATTGAGTTACAAAGATTTGTCCTAACCCACAAACAACAAACAAACAAACAGACCTAACGAACTAAATAAAAGCTTGTAAAAATTATTAGACCTGCGGGTCCCGTTATCAGAACGGCTTAAAATCGCCAAGATTTTAAACGGTTAGATGTATTGAATGTGTGTTATTTCAAAGGTCGGATTGTGGTGTTGTTGCATATTCCAAATTATTACGAATTAAAACCGAACCTAGACACGAAAGTAAAAATCTGAATGAATGTTTTATTGTTCAGACCATAAGGCTATTGTTTTATTGTGTTATTTCAAAGGTCGGATTGTGGTGTTGTTGCATATTCCAAATTATTACGAATTAAAACCGAACCTAGACACGAAAGTAAAAATCTGAATGGATGTTTTATTGATCAAACCATAAAGCTATTGTTTTCTAAATTTACACAACAATTTAATACATCTTCATTTTTTTTCACGAAAAATACGTTGTTGTCCCTAGCATGACACAAACACAATCTCAACAAAGCGAACTGTAGCTGTCATTGCTTCATGTTAGACAATGTTTACTGAAAATAAGCTCTCCTTAAAAATAAATAAAGTAAAGACGGTTGGGCATATAGATGAATGCACCAATCTTTCTTACGTCGAAGTCAAGTCACATATGAACACTTTCATCTGTTTTATGGATCTTTAGATGTGAAAGGGGAGCTTTAGTTTACTTTTACCGTACGTAGATTAAATTGTTTTCATGTGGTAAAATGCTACCATTGATTAGTCATGTATTTTAGTAACAGTAAAAAATATAATTAATCGTCGATACATTATGTTTTTTTTCCATTGTTACTCAATTACACCATGTGTACTACGTTAAAGAAAAAACATGGCTACAGTGAGTAGGCAGATCATTGGGTTGATGTTGAGCTTACTTTCTGTGCGTGCTGGCTACTTAAGGAAGGTACAACACAAGGCATTATGGTAAGTCTTAAAATCAGCAGGTACTACTCAAGGCCTTATGTCATAAGATCAGAAGCAGGTAGTACACAAAGGCTTACGTCATAAGATCAGCAGGTACTACACTAGACCTTACGTCATAAGATCAGCAGGTACTAAATAAGGCCTTACGTCATAAGATCAGCAGGTACTACACCAGGCCTTACGTCATAAGATCAGCAGGTACTACACCAGGCCTTACGTCATAAGATCAGCAGGTACTACACTAGACCTTACGACATAAGATCAGCAGGTACTAAATAAGGCCTTACGTCATAAGAACAGCAGGTACTACAGCAGGTACTAAACAAGGGCTTACGTCATAAGATCAGCAGGTACTACACTAGACCTTACGTCATAAGATCAGCAGGTACTACAGCAGGTACTACACCAGGCCTTACGTCATAAGATCAGCAGGTACTACACTAGACCTTACGTCATAAGATCAGCAGGTACTACACCAGGCCTTACGTCATAAGATCAGCAGGTACTACACCAGGCCTTACGTCATAAGATCAGCAGGTACTACACCAGGCCTTACGTCATAAGATCAGCAGGTACTACACCAGGCCTTACGTCATAAGATCAGCAGGTACTACACCAGGCCTTACGTCATAAGATCAGCAGGTACTACACGACGCCAGTGGCGTAGGCAGGGGGGTTAGGGGGGGGGGGGGGTCAGACCCCCCCCCCCATAGACCCCTCGGCAGATACATAAAGGTTGAGCGGGGGTGCAAAATCGAAAGTCTGAGGGGGAGTGCAAATCAAAAGTATGTCCTCGGGGGCCGGGTAGGGGCGCTACACCTCTGATATATACATTTATGATGCGGGGAAAAAATTAACCCCCCCCCCTCCTGAGACGATCTTGGCTACGCCACTGCAAGACGCCTTACGTCTTAAGATCAGCAGGTACTACACCTTTAGTGAGCAGTTGTTGTCACGGAGACTGAACAAGGGTATAAATGGAATGGAGTAGGGAAGGGCAGGGCAGGGCAGGGTAGGGTAGGGTAGGGTAAGGTAGGGTAGGGTAGGGTAGGGTAGGGTAGGGTAGGGTAGGGTAGGGTAGGGTAAGGTAAGGTAA